ACATGCCCTAGGAGTTCATCCTATAGTTCCTGTTTTTTTTGGTACTACTGCGATCTTGATTACAGACAACGCATTTCGACTGCAGTTAGGCTACAGACCATTCATTGCAGACTCCTCATTAAAGCCGTTTACACCTTTCTAGAACACTTTGGAAACCCTCCCACAGAATTCCACGGTGTCCCGCGTGCCTGAGGCTCAGGTACGACTCCCAACCTCGGGTTCTCTCTGAGTCAATTGGGCTGAGTCTTCAGAATCTAGGTTTTTGCGGTTTACATGACTCAGATTTGTGCTGGGCCTTCCCGGAGAGAGGCTCTCTGTGGCTCTTGGCCACATTCTCAGTGTCTGAAGAACTGCGGTCAACTGAGCCTGGAAACGCGACTCAACCTCTACAATTCGCTCTGAACCATGCTGCGCCTGCAAGAAGGGAGACTTCACAGTTGCAGGAGGGTCTACACCAAGAACATGCTTGCCAGGTCTGCACACGGAGAGTATGCACCATATGCGACTATGAAATATGACAGTTAGTGGCATGCCATATGAGCTATCTCAGTGGGTGAAATGTTCGCGAATGCAAACAATCAAGTTTAGGATTGAAGCTGAGGCATTGCAACCGAATGTTACAGTTATCTTTGAGAACAGTGATGATGACTACTTTCTGGGGCCGCGATAGTGTAAGGAATGACCTGCGCTCAACAATCTGCGACCTGAATCCTGAACCTAAACCCTAAACTCCTGAACATGAAGCCGAAGGTCCCCTAAACTACAAGAGAGGAATCGATCCGTCTTTGACCGTGCTCCGGACCCCTGACCTCCCCCTCTCCAACTACGGGTTGCGGTCGGCATCCTAATCACATTGAAGGTCGTAGGGTTTAAATGCCTTACATCCGAGACTTCTAGGAGAAGGAGCCTAGTTCAATTCAACGCGAGTTCCGAGCTCACCGAGACCCATAAGCCATAAGATCCGATTAAGACTTAGGCAAGTTTGCTAATTACATACTACCCTAAAAGCTACGGTCGAAAAAGCCCTTGGGCCCGCACGTCCGCGGACCGTGGCCGCATCGTCCGCGGAAACCAGGGGCACAGAGAAGACAGCGAAGGTGCCCACGAGACCAACTGATGTGGAATTCAAAGGTTTGGGGCAGCGCGGGGCTCGAGGGAAATGAGTACTGTTAGGTGTCTTACAGGAAGACTTAGGGTCTGAAGTTAAATATAGGGCTGTAGGGCACTTAAGGACTTCGGGCTCGAGAGCCATTTGAGAGGGCTTAGGGGAGAAAGTGGCTTTGTTCGGGTGAGTTGCAGAAGATTTGTGTCGGGGCTTTGGTGCATTAACTACGATTTGTTGCGTGATGCGGGGCATCACGGCGTCCTTATCCAAATCCAAGCAATCACGAAACTGGTTCATACTGGGTCGACATGGACTACGCAATCATCCACCTGTTGCGGGGAGTTGTTGCAGGCGGTGCCAGCGAAACAGTCAGTAAACCAAAAAAGGGTTGGAAGGATCGTATTCAAGAGGCATACGAAGCCCGCTTAGTTTCCGAATTTCAACCATTCGCATCACAGGGTTATGAGAAGCTTGCTGGCTTCCTAAAACTACGGAGGGTCAGAACGCATGATTGTTGGAGTCTTGGACACTGAATATAAAATGTTCATTGGCTTTGTTTCAAAATTTCTTTAAGGACCCGCTATTGTACCATTGATTAAGGAACCAGAAATCCCCAGAGCCCTCGATCCGTCAACTTTAACCAGAATGCAAGTGATCGTAACACCAAGGCTGCTCTGATAATATACTCCCTAAGTTCATCGTCTTTCTAGAGATTCTAGCGTCTGCTTTCAAGTCTCACAGCGGTGCGGAGGGATGACAAGATGCGAAAGTTGTGTAGGATAACGTGAACTTCCACCCAAGCACTATATACATACAAAAGCAAGCTTTGTGTTCGTCCTGCCCGCTTCTGAGCTACCTCTTGTGACTCTTCATGGTTTCTTTTCATCCACATCATCAACATCATCAGCATCACTAGTATGGCTATCAGTACAGTACAAGCTCATTCGGACAATCCGAGTGGTATCCTGAAGAGCAGCATCATTGATTGTCGGTCTTGTCTTGTTATACTCATCAGCACTATTCATGTTGTAATCAAGTGGCTACAGGATTGTTACCATTACTACGACTACTATTGCCAACCGAACACCGACAGAATTCTCTGGGGCCCCAAACCACCGGTCTCGTACCAGAAATACTGCAGCAGATGGTTGCGGAAGAGCAGGGGAGGTCTGGGGTTCATGGTTTGATGGTTGCGAGTTCACGAGTTTATGCTTCGGGGCGGACCACTGCTTCGGGCTTTGGGGATTGAGGCCTCAGGGTTTGGATTCCAATTTTTCAGGTTTGGGGACCACAGCTTAGGCTTAGTATGTCTATTTGGTATCCCAACAACCCTTCTACAATCCTCATTTCCCATCTTGACCACTTACCTGCCCTAACCTGCTGAGTCAACAGTGGACCCAAGTAGGGAATCCTGTCGAGGTTGAAGGTTGGGGTTTGGGCGAGAAGACCGTTGAAGCGCAGAAACCTGAAAGGCGCGCAGGGTTTGGGGTTGGCGTAATTCGTTCTTCCCAATTTGCCGGGCCCCTGCCCTGCCAACATCGATGTTGTGACCATCTAAGCTCAGGCTTGGGGTTCCGGTCGATCTGTGAAGACAAAAACGCCCAAGCGTGGCCGCAATATGGACAGCACGCAAATGTTCCGACGGAGGTGTCAGTGCAAGGACTCAGGGGTCTATCATCGACAGCAGGCATCTTGTCGCGGTCAGCAACTGAATGAAGATCTCTGCAAAAACTTGCTTCCGGAAGCTGACAGCGGCTTGGTACTTCCACAGTGTTACAAGCTATTGGACACCTTCACACTCGCGCAAAGCTGCCTGCAACAAACGGCGCCGAACCACTGTGTAACTGTCCATCCTCCCGCTATCCGGAGTTTGACGGTCCCCAATCATAAATCCCCCACCCCAAACCCCTGCAGCCCTGCTAAGGGTGAAGCAGTATAGTCAAGCATCGCTGGACGTGCTAAACCCATACGTAAGTACCAGCAAACTCAACCGGCGAGTCCAAGAGTCCTTCTCCAGGCCCTCGTCGGCAGCGAAGGCTGTCAGATAGGCCCAAAAGTTTTCGGTCCTTCGATGATGCTCAGGACAGCCAGGAGGTGAGAGATCTGGGCTTTGGAGTTTACGGTGGAGGGTTGAGCATGCAGGAATGTAGGATTTGCGGCTGGGATTGTAGAAGTTTGGATTCAGGGTGTGCGGCTTGAGACTGAACACATGATAGCTTGCTAGCTTGCGGTGCGGACGGATGTGCAGCCGCACCGTAGTACAAACAGTGATGGTCTGCCATCTACCCCAGGGTCAGACCATCTTTGATCAAGAGGACCACAGAAGAGATCTGAGTTTACAGAAATATGCACACATGCTGTAGCTTGACTTGTCGGCAGCTTGAGAGCTGAAGATAAAGAAGCAAGGTTGCGCAGACCACCTGAACCCCAACTAACTGTACACAGACCACACCATAAGTCCTGCGCCCCAGACCCTAAAATGCTAAATCTCAAGGACCAGCTCCACACGGAAGCCCTGAACCGCCTGACTCCGTCGCCCTGGCAACCACAAGGGCGTAATAATGGTGCAAGTACATTTGCAGCCACCGGCTCTCCCCCTAAAACCCGCACAACCCTAAACCCCGAACTCCTCTTCCATCCTCAAACCTACAAACTGTCTGAGCGCCGGTCCTCTGGCACTTGGGACTCTACATGTTTGTTGTTGGAAGCTCTGGTGGCGATTTAGGAAATTTTGGCGTCTCGGTTTGCGGTCGTCTTACGGCTCTCGAAGGCTTGGCTGCTTCATGGCTTTAGGAATTCGAAGCTCGATTGGTTTTTGGTTACAGTTTGGGGTTTCCCAAAGTCTCCCAATGCCGGGGCTTTGGCGGCACCGGAAACTTCTCTCCCTGCGCTTCCAGCCAGAGCCTTAGGAGACGAATTTCAGGATCGAGTGAAGGCCTCCTTCGGGATCGTGTCTTGAAGTGTTCAAGACTAGGGTTTTCGTGCTTCCAAAGGACAGCAGAAGGACAGCGGATCAGAGTTTTGTGATTTTACACATTTCGGGGAGCTGATGATTCGGACTCCGGCCTCCGTTTAAACTCACACAGAAGTGCTGATTGGTCCGAGGGGAAGTTACCGCTGCTTCAGACAAGGGCAATTATTGTCCGGGTTGCGGTATTGCGTTGGTTTAATCAAAACCTGAACCCCTAATTTCCTTAGCTGATGGGAGGATTGACACGGCCTTTCCGTTCGGACGATGCAGGGCCCCACAGCAAAGAGGGTCGACATCGGAGAGGCGTGGACAAGGCGCAGCCGAGGTTTAGTAGGATTTCGCGGTGTAAGGTCTGGGGTTTGAGGTGTTTTGGAGTCATGTACGGTTTCTGGAAGCTTTGAGGCTTAAGCCTCGCCCGTGTCTTTGCCTGCTCCTTTTCATCCGTGCGTTCAGACCCCGCAGCTTCCTACATGGCAACCACTTGTAAACTTGGTTTAGGGTGCCCGGTGTGGGGTTTAGGATAACAGCCAAAAGCTTCAAGAATATCATGCTGACTTTGCCACTTCTCTGAGCCGGGGGTTTGGTGACAACGATCTTCCACTTCTAGAGAATCCGGAGAAACTTCGCCCTCAAGCCAAGACCCTAACCAACCGAAGTCTCGAACCCAAGAGTCCATGAACCCACCCAAGAATCCGAAAGCCTGAAGCCCTCTACAAGAGCCCCCAACCCAGGGCCGTCCTAAACCGTCCAATCCGACAAAACTCACCGGAAAACACCGTAACACCCAAGGAGACCCTTAAAGCCCTACACGATGGTCCTTTGCACATTATCATATTGTGAACCCTTGCAAAATCCTGGCGAAGGAACACTCTTTGCCATGCGGACTCCAAGAGCAGACGCTCAGAAGGACTTAATGGGCATGAG